CCATAGAAGATCCAATTCGTGACCCACGGATCTTCTATGGCCCGGGATCTTTTCTGGTATACTTTCCCTTTATTTAGGCCGATTTCTACTATTTTTTCAGCGATCCGCGGTGCCTGGTAGAGGCTAACCAGGAGAGTCAGTCCTCGGGATAGTTAATTTCCTCCTTAAAAGTGCGCCGACAAATGAACCATACGGTGACCAAACTCCCCTCGCCAATTATTCTGAGACCCCCTCTTTGGCTAAGTTTGACTGTTTTTGAACCTGTGTTGTTACTTAGTCTGGTGTAGACCTACTAGTACTAAATTTGACCTTTTTTAACACGTATATTAGTAACTTAGTCTGGTGTGGAGCTACTAAATTTGACTGTTTTTGAATCCGCGTTGTTTAGTCTGGTCGAGACTACATGTCTGAATTTTCATTCTCCGAGCCTGATATAAGGGGGTCTGCATGGGGGTGTCCTAGTAACGGTTAACAGCAGGCCCGACAACGCTTGACGGTTAATTAAGGACGGTTTGTAACGCTTAACGGTAAATTGACATGCATTTTTTTCGACTCCGCTATATTCAGTATCTGAATTGGTAAGAAAGAGTGATCGCTGACGAAATGTATGTAACGAAGTGTGTTCACACTAGTGTCCTCTAGATCTGTGTTGGTCCACGCCTGCCTTGGTCCCCGAGTGCGCCCATAAATGCTTGAAGTAGTTGAAGAGGGGGACCGAGCGCAGAATAGTATCTTTGACTCTGTAAATTTAAAGTAATTACTTTATAGGGAACCAAAAGACCAACAACAAGTTGAACAACAAGTTCAACGTGCATTTGTGGCAGGCCCACACTATACGCGTAGATTGAGTCACAAGGCGTCCTTGGCCGGACGTGACACAACTGCCCGGTGGATCACATTCCGCCGGGCACCGTGCCAAGCCACTCCGGCTGACGCGGACTGGTACACCATGGAACCTAGGCAACGGGCCAGGATAAGTTAAACGGGTGGTCCAAGTTTGCACATGTTTTCTGTGCTATTCACATGCTAGTCTCCACCAGACTTCTTTTGCGGGGTGAATAAATCGTAGAAATCGGCCTAAAAAGGGTACTAATTGGCCAGAGAAGGTAGCCGGCCAGAGAAGATCCATTGCCCCGCCAGAATCTACGATTTATTCACACCGCAAAAGAAGTCTGGTGGAGACTATTCACATGCGGCGCTACAATTCATACATATAGCCGTGCCAAGTCGCTCCTGCTGACGCGGACTGGTACACCATGGAACCTAGGCAACGGGCCAGGATAAGTTAAACGGGTGGTCCCCGTTTGGGTGGTCCCCGTTTACACATGTTATCTGTGCTATTCACATGCGGCGCTACCGGCATACGGAGAATAAAGTCACACAAACACAACGGAAACCTCCTAACCACGGTGAGGAAATGGAAATTATATGGTCATATCGTGTCACGGCCAAGCCAAAACCATCATGTAAGGAACAGTCCAGGGAAGAGGAAAGAGGGTTAGGCAACGGAAAAAAAAGATGGGAGGATAACATCGGGGAATGTACAGGCTGTGACATGCCCGTAGCCGGGGGGGGGGGGG